ACCTAATGAAAATCTACATAGAAAAGAAATCACTAAGAGAGCAATATTTGGTAGATTTTATTCCAAAAGAAAAAATGTGTATCGTCTTGCATATGTGAGTGATGTAACTTGTTTAGATTAGCATAGAATGTATAGGAGCTCTTTTAGTAAGTTGTGCACTATGCTAGAAAATGTAGGGATGAAAGATACAAAAAATATGTTCCTAGACGAACAAGTTGTAATGTTTCTATATATTCTCGCCCACCATGTGAAGAATAGAGTCATAAAACAAATGTTTCAACGTTCAGGGTAAACTATTAGTAGGCATTTTACTCATGTGCTACATGTCGTAGTACGTCTGCATGATATTTTAATCTAAAAACCCGATCCAATTCCTATAGACTCAACAGACACGAGGTGGAAATGGTTCAAGGTAACTTATAAATTATTTTATTTGTATTTCTTAGTTTTTATAAGTAATCTAACATGATAATTTTCACTTATATTTAGAATTGTCTTGGAGCTTTAGATGGGACTTATATAAGAGTGAGAGTAACTGTGAAGGACAAATCTAGGTATAGGACACGAAAAAGGTGAAATTGTAACAAATGTCTTGGGCGTATGTTCTCAAAACATGCAATTTATATACGTATTACCCGGGTGAGAAGGGTCAGCGACTGATAGTAGAGTACCTCAAGAAGCAATAACCAAAAGAAATGGATTAAAAGTCCTCGTAAGTAAGTTATAATTTGTATAATATTTGCTTTTAGCAACTGTCAAATTCACTAATATTTAGACAATTGATATGTCAAACCATAGGTTATCAATATCTTGTTGATGCGGGATACACTAATTGTGATGGTTTCCTTGCACCGTTATCACTTGAATGAATGGAGAAACGGACACCAACCGACAACTGCATAGGAGTTTTTCAATTTGAAACATGCATCAGCTAGAAATGTTTTCGAGCGATGTTGCAGATTGCTTAAATTAAGATGAGCCATCCTACGTAGCCCTTCATCTTACCCTATCAACATACAAAATCAAATAATTATGGCATGTAGTCTCCTTAATAATTATATAAGGAGGGAGATGGAGGTTGATCCGTTTGAAGAGTGTCTTAATGTTTTGGAGGAAACAACTCAAATTGTCAATGCTAATGATCTAATCACGACAATTGAAACTACTTCAGATTGGACTTTGTGGCCAGATAACCTTACAGATTCTATGTATAACCAGTGGATAGGGCAACAATAAAGATTTGATTTTTATGTTTGTCATATGTTTTTTTCTTTTGCATGTACACAGCTTAATTATGGAAACAATTATTTTTATTTTTATTCAAGCTCTCAGTTTGATATCTTTTTTTCTTTGTGAAATAATTTAGTTATTAGCAATTGACTCATGCTCATGTTGAAAAGCCAACTACTCTTAATGATAATTGATATTTACATGGAATTATTTATTATTGTATGTAATACAATTTCTAATATAGATCTATGGTTGTGTTTTTTTAACAATATAGTGATTTGTTGTTATCTGATATTGTTATGCGCGATAGGTTAATGCTTCAGGATAAATTTACATATATTACAAGAAAAGTAGAGATGTGATAACTACTAAATAAGTAATATAGTTGTTTAGGAATGGATCAAGAAGACCAATAAGGCCGTAGAAGGAATAATAAGCACACATGGACTACTATAGAAGATCAGAAATTGGTTGATGTGTTGTTGGATTTACATAACACTAGAAAGTACAATGCTGACCGTGGATTCAAGCCTGGACACTACAATGATGTTGAAAGATTACTTTCTGAGTCACTACCGAATTCAGGGTTAAAGGCTGATCCTCGCATTAGATCAAGGATGAAGACACTTAAGACACAATTTAGCATTGTGTTTGATAAGCTTAACTGTAGTGGTTTTGGATGGGACACAACTAAGAAGGTGTGGGCTAGAACTGGTTGTATACAAGCTAGAACTAGAGTAATAGAAGCTAGAACTAACGTAGAAGCAAGAATTAACAAGTGTGAAGGTAAAATACGAAGGTTGGGTTTAGAACTAGCAAGGTATGGGCTACAACTGGCTGTATACAAGCTAGAACTAGGGTGATAAAAGCTAGAACTAACGTAGAAGCAAGAATTAACAAGTGTGAAGGTAAAATACGAAGGCTAGGTTTAGAACTAGTAAGGTGTGGGCTAGAACTGGCTGTATACAAGTTAGAACTAGTGTAATAGAAGCTAGAACTAAGATAAAAGCTAGAATTAACAAGTGTGCATGTAAAAAACGCGGGCTGAGTTTAGAACTAGCAAGGTGTGGGCTAGAACTGGCTGTATACAAGCTAGAACTAGGGTAATAGAAGCTAGAACTAACGTAGAAGCAAGAATTAACAAGTGTGAAGGTAAAATACGAAGGCTTGGTTTAGAACTAGCAATGTGTGGGCTAGAACTGGCTGTATACAAGCTAGAACTAGGGTAATAGAAGCTAGAACTAAGCTAGAAGCTAGAATTAACAAGTGTGCATGTAAAAAATCATTGTTGGGTTTAGAACTAGCAAGGTGTGGGCTAGAACTGGCTGTATACAAGCTAGAACTAGGGTAATAGAAGCTGGAACTAACGTAAAAGCATGAATTAACAAGTGTGAAGGTAAAAAACGCGGGCTGAGTTTAGAACTAGCAAGGTGTGGGCTAGAACTGACTGTATATAAGCTAAAACTAGGGTAATAAAAGCTAGAACTAAGGTAGAAGCAAAAATAACAAGTAGCGATTAGAACTAACTTAATAGCCAGAATTAACAATTGTAGCAGCTAGAACTAACTCGAGGGCTACTAGAACTACCACGATAGAATCTAGAAATAACATATCATTAGGTATAACTATTATCAAATATAATTAACAACGATTTATAAAAACATGACTGTATCCTCATTTATAACAACGATTTATAACTACCGTCCCAGCTTACAACGATTTTTGGTAATTAAATATTTTTCCAGCCTATTTTGCTAATTAAGTTTTAAAAGTGATCTATTTTAAAAATTTGTTCGAAATTAAAATACAAAAAGATTGCGTACATTAGGTTTATTGCAAATTCAGCTTCCTCCAAAAAGACGTGGATGTCTCGTGAAAGTGGAAAAATGGGGATAACTTTTGACTATTTTTTAAAATTAAATCGTTCATTTATTTGTTGCTGGTCAAACATTTTTTCTTTTTTTTTTCTTTTCTTCTTCTAGCTAATGGATTAATGCTCTGTGTGTCTCGGCCTGGTGACTAAAAAAACATCCACAACAGAATCGGTCACAATTTACAAATACAGAAGCTCATAAGGATAAATCCACAGTCATGTGAGAAATTAAAAACGTAGATATATTATCAACATGAACCCTCAATTGATCAAAGTCATCTCAAATAAAAAAAAAAGGAAAAAGTAATGTCCAAATCTCAACGGGGCACAACAACATCATTTACGGTAAAGATCAATCTCAAAAACCAACCTACTCTCGTAGCATCATCTTCTTAAATTCATCAAAGCATAAAACACCATCTCCATTAACACCATACCTTCAGATCATCTCCCTGCACTCCTCAACAGTTTTCAATTGCCCGAGCTTTTCGAGCGTTTTCCTCAAGCTCTGCGGCGGCGATCTACGGCAACGAGGACAGGTGGAGGAGGAAAGTGGAGGCGACGGCGAACTCGAGGGGAGCCTTGGGGGCCTGAGCGGAGGCGACAACGACGAGAAGGGCGAGGGCCAGAGTGATAAGCTTGAGAAAGCTCTTAGTTTTAAAGAGAGGAGAGAGAGAGAGAGAGAGAGAGAGAGAGAGAGAGAGAGATAAGAGAGAGAGGATATGAGTGCTGGGTCTGAGGGATTGAGGTAAGAGGATAAGGATAATTTGGGGATTTTAGCTTAGCTGACATGTAATAATTAATAAAAAAAAGTCTGCAGTGCAAAGTGTCACACATCAAGAGTCTGATTCACATGGGGAAAACTATGAAGGACCTCATCACATGAAGTTTCTGCTTTTGGGGCCTGTACACATTTTTCCCAAACATCTAACCGAAAATAAGGGGATTCTTCTTTTTTGTATTTTTGTCAAACTGCCATAGTTTCACTTTCAAAGACCAAGTACATCCTTAAAATGCCACCAGAGTCAATAACGTTACTATATTTTCACAACGGAGATCACAACGTCAACTTCACAATCAACAAAGAACTTTTTAACATCACAATGTCTTCAGATTTTGAAATATTTCTATAAAATTTATTTCTCACTCGTCTCGCTTTCTTTCCAACACCAAAATTTTGTTCAGAACTAAGTAAAGATTTTCTACCATTACACAGAGGTATCTTTATTCAGAACTCATTGTTGAAGTGTTACAACAACAAAAATATGAAAATTTAAGATGATCTTAGAAGTAAACAGTGAATACAAAATACGACCCTACACTCAAATCACTTGTTAGCGCACTGTGTAATTCCTACTCTATACTAATTAGTCTCTGCCACAATCTTAAAAATCTTTTGAGGCTGATAAATATCAATCTGTCAAAATTTCCATCGACATTGGCGCGGCTGTCTTCTCTTCAAACATACAGTACATGTACGAGTCTTCTTACTGTATGTTTATATGTATCGGCCTACTATACATCTCTCCCTCCGGCCACAAGGTAAGAGCTCGGAGAAAATAAAAAGGTAGGTGGGTAACATCTTTCCATAATCAATTAAAGAAATAAGGAGAATCTATAACTTCACTAAGATCAAATTCGCCTCTTTCTGGCAGCGAGGGGAATGTTAATGTTGGGAAGGATGTTTGGAAGCTTTCATGTAACTGGAAAGACGAAGGAGAAGAAAAAGAACAAATCTCGATGAGTGGTATAATGGCACTTCCCGTGATATGATGAAAAGGGGTTAAATTTTACAACTGTCATGAACCTTTGGGGCTCTCGCACAAAACTATCATAAACTTTCTTATTAGAGAAAACTAGCATGCACTTTTCTCACCAGTAGTTCACAGTATTTTCTCTAGTAGAAGAAGTTGCAATAGTTTTGTGCAAAAACCCCAAAGTTCATGGTAGTTCTCTGAAATTTACCCAAAAAATAAACAAAAGAGCAGATAGATGTACTTACGTTCTCTAATATGGGGATGTTGTAAAGTTCCACAAATTGTTCCCTCAGTATCCGGTTCATACTGTCTACATCGCAGGCATGCGTCCAGAATGAGTCGTGGACTCCTGCATCCATAGTTTTATTTTTTTAGTGAAGAGAAAATAATAATCAAGTATGACAATTAATGATAGACCAGGTACAGTGATAGGTTATCTTATCATTGTATGTATAAAGCATATTTTATATGGTATATTAATAAGCAGAAAGGATTAGGGAATATAATACGGTAGTTTGCATGATATATAATGCATATAATAACTGATACGTCAAGAGAGTGCACAAAATTTGGAGGAAAAGCTGTCTTTTGTTGTTTAACTGCAACCTTTAGTAAAAAGAATACACCGGTATTCGTAAACTAAAATATACTGGCACGGAAATGAAATAGTACAAGAAAAAGAAGCTTACAGCGTCACCATCACGTTGTAATGCCAAAACCTGAAGAGAAGTTCTTATCTGCAACATCAGGTGATAAAGGGAAAAAATCATAAATATTAAGCAAAAAAGACATGAAAAAGAGCAGTCAATTTATGAAACTAAAAAAATTTAAGATGCACACATTTCACACATATGCACAAAAGTTTCAACAGTTAATATGAATGCTTTGTTTTGCTCTCGGGAATCTAACAAACTTCATTTAAAGATATGCACATCAGAAAATGTTATAAGTTCTCATAGAAAGATGGCAAATTTTAGAATAAGTAGTACATTTAAATAAATCAATTGGTCTTCAAATAGAAAAAGGTCTATCAGGACATGACAAAGCAAAACTTAATCAATGTAGAATGGATATTAAATCCAGTAGTCAAATATTGAAAAATAGAGAAATATTAACATCAAAAGACTGCTTAGAAATGAAATCACATATGATACACAACATATACCAGTAAGACAGAAATAATATAATTCTATAAATTAAGCCGATATTAAGATAAGAGAACTTGAAACCAGAAATACAGGAGAAAGTTGGGTTTAAGCACGCATGGCAAATTTCTGCTTCCTCATGTCACAAATATTGAAATCTAATGACTGCATAGCTACATGCATACTAAAGAAATAGCTGAGAGAAACTGAACTTCAGAAAATGATGATAACTTGAAACTAAAAAATATAGAGAAAGTAGGTTTAACATGCACGGCAAATTTTTGCTTTCCTTGTATCAACACACAACATATTGGAACATTGAAACTCACAAGATGTCTTTCAGATTTCCTATAAGGCTGAACAACTGGTAGCCCAAGGGGAGTCGTCCATCTTACTGGTTCATTTTCCGAAGCAATCACCTGGATCATGAATATGACATAAAAGACGAACATTATTTGTTATCAATCGGGTAGCTGAACCAAACATGTCCTATCTGAAGTTGAATTTTTTTTAAATCTCATGCACCACGAGGTTACCAACATGAGCAAAAAATGAGTGTTGCAGAAATGAGAATGATACGAGGGACAAGTGGATATACACCAAGTTATACGATAAGAAATGAGTGCATTGTAGGAAGTTAGAGGTTGCATCCATTGAGGATATTCATTTCAGATGGTTTAGTCATGTGTGATAGAAACCACCATCAAATACACTAATAGGAGAAGTGCTAAGATTATAATTAATGGAAAATGGAGGAGTAGAGGCAGGCCTAAGAAAACTAAGAAACTTTTGAAAAGGATATGATAATGATTAACTAAGTGGAGGAGATAGCCCTCAACAGAATTGAGCGGAAGAGTAAGATTCAAGCAATTGACCTGAAGAATTGGGATAAAGGCTTTGTTATTTTTTATTACATATAATAGACCCTAGCATTTTAACAAAAAGCAGTCATAATATAACAGACCTTCGCACAATCACCAAGCCATTTCATAATACCACGTGCAGCTTGGAACATCTCCCCTAGAGCATTCAAGGTAACCTTACAAAAGAAGCACATATTCAAGAGGTCATACACCTTAACATAGATTTGTTGAATAGACGTGTTCCAGTTCTGCAAATAGCAATAAAACATGTACCTTCGTAGCATAGCAAGATGCATGGAACAACAACCTATCGTCTGTGATTTTTCCTTTCTCAGTTAATCTTCTTTTTATTTGCTCACGTGCACCAACATATGTGACACCGTAAACTGACGTCATCACAGTCTGCTTAACTAACTTCCGATCCACCTGAAAGCTACCAAGTTACAATAACATTTAATTGAATGACTTAGGAGTCTTATTACGAAATTTCTTAAGGGAGCGCTTTTATTCAGAATTTAACTCAAATATGATTTTTCTTTTATAACTGGTTCTCTCTCTGAAAGAAGACTAACCTGATCGATTAAGACCTTGGCTAATAAAGCTGTTGGATTAGTAGCAGGGTCTTTCTGTGAGTCTTTCATCATAATATCCAGAACCCTTCAATTTAAAGGAAAAAAAGGACTGCTTACTATTTACAACTTTAGAAATGAAAGCATAAATTAAGATACAATTTCAGGAGGTTTGGAACAACACCACACAATTGTGTTCTGCAGTTACAAAATCTACTCAGGTAAGAGGATTCAAACTTTCAACCACTTTATACATCGTGTAAAGCCTCCAAACTGCACGAGTGTTTATCTATGAACTAGGACAAGGAGATCATGATGAGTGTGGAAGTTTGGATTATCTATTTGCATTAGTCATGCATTATTTATTACAAGACTAGATAGATATTCAAATTTTTGTCTTGAATTATGCATAACTTTTGAGTTTTGACAATATAAATACATCTAATAACACATCAGATACTTTCCTAATCCAAGTATGAAAACAGGAAAACAAAGAAAACATGAGATAAAAACAAGATGAATTCTAAATCCCTACAGTACCATGTCATTTACAACACAGAAACATATATAAGTAAACAAAGAACTAGAGTTGTTAATGAAGATATCAATAAAGTTTGTAAAGTAGATCAAAAGATCAGCATAACCAAACATAAGAACAGAAGTCTTTAAATCAATCTACCTTGGGAGTTCAGTTCTCCTTGCTCTCAGATTCCTCAACATCTTCTTTTGCTTTCTTCCACTGATTTCTTAGCATGCTTCTCTCCTGTTAAGTGTTAGGTCATCATAACTTTACTATTGCACTTTACATTATACAACTAGCACCAAAGAGAGATACCCTTCTCCCAAACTTTATGCATCTTTCCATCCACTTAGATCCCCGCCTTTCTTCCTCTTCATGGGTCTTTCTTGATTTGGCATGTGGCCTTCACTGTCAGTGGAGAGCTCCACTTAGTCCTCTGTTCAACAATGCTTGCAGCTCCCCCATGGACACCAAAGCCCACAGGCCAAATCACGATGAGGAAGATAGATGATATTCAAGGTGATGGAAAGATGCATGAAATTCTGGAGAAGGGCATTCTTCTTTCATGCAAATTGTGCAACACAAAGTGCAATAGTAAAATTATGCTAAGCCATCACTTGACAGGAAAGAAGCATGCTGAGGAATCAGACAATGGCAAGAAGAGTGGAATAAGGAAAAGAAGATGTTGAGAAAGATCAGCGCAAGGAGAACTGAACTCCTTAAGGGGATAGATTTAAAGACTTGTGCTCTTATGTTTGGTCATGTTAAATGAACTTTTGATCTATTTTACAGACTTCAGTTCTCTAACATGTTACATTTAAGGAGAAACAATAGCAATATTTACTAAATTTCTCACGTTTAGAATCCATTATTATGCAGGATGATATTTTCTTTCCTAAAGCCAAAAAGTTAATAGTTGGACATATATCTTTTTTCTTGTGCTGTAAATGATGCACTGCACGGATTTAAATCAACCATGTTATTTTATCTCATTATTTTCTTTCTTAATCCTTAATGCGTACTTGTATTATGTTAATAGCCAATGTAGTATTAGATGTATTTAAATTGTCAAAAGTTATGCATATGCATATTCCTCAGTAAAAGATTGGAAATAATTTTTTGAGTTGCCATTAGCCTAGAGGTTTATATTCTGAAGGTAATGTGGGTAAGAGAATGTTTGGTAAACGGTCAAAGCGGTTTATAAGCTGCTTTTGATAAGCCATGAGGTTTGACCAAGTAAAAGACAATTATACCCCTTATGATTTCACAAATTTACGACCTTATTTACAAACTCACCAGCAACCTCGTGTCCTTTTTGGACACTTTGACAACAATGATGGATTATAATCCAACCATTTGCCAAACACCCTACATCGAAAATGGATTATAATCCACCAAATTTACCAAACAATCTAGATTATAATGAATCACAAAATCCAAGGCCTCATTTTAAAACCCACCACAAACCCCATGTCCTTTTGGGTTTCATTCCTTGAATCATTAATGAATATTCTATTTTCTTTTTAAGCCAAATACCCATTCTTGTATCATCTCATGGAATCCAAAAACTAGGACATGCAGAACTTAAAATCAACCTAACATGCAGAACTTAAAATCAACCTAACCAACAAACCTAACCCTAACTCTAACTAGGTGTTAGGATTATGGTTAGAGAAGGGGCATACTTAAACCATGTCACTGACTCAAAAAATTTCACACACGCCATGATAAGATGCAATGGTTTGTACGTTATCATCTCTATTTATCATTTCATTGTATATATCAATAGCCACTAAGCACCCTATAACCCTTAATAATAGAGAGAAAAGCTAGGTGGTATCAGATGATGCATATTATGTCATAAACTAAAGACATGATATGGAAGATAAATAGCCATTCTTGCTATGATTCATGAAACCCACAAGCTAGCATACCCAGAACTGAAAATTACAACACTATTTATGGATGATACTGCCATACCTTGCAGCTATCCCGGAATAGACATCCGCCGGCTTCTCCCCAGCAACTAAGTTGACTGCAGCTGCCTCTAGCTGAGAAAATGAACACAACATCAAATGTTAGGCTCAATGATTGCGAGTGAAACTTATGTTAGCCATATTCTGCAGAAAAGTTGTAAAAGTCAATACTGATATGGGGAAATTTCATAATTTTTATATAATGAAGAACTAATGACAATGAAAACTATTCACAGCACAAACTATGCTATACATGTGAGCACCAGCTAAATTTGGAGAGTTAAGAAGAAGAAACAGGTTATCTATAATAGAGAAATAGCCATGGCCCATGGATATCTACATACTCGTCACAAAAATCAACAAGTTCTAGTCAAGGTTTTCTTCTGTAAAATTCTTCTCTTCCCTGTGAAGGACAAGCTATTGAAGCTGTTCAGTAACTTAAGGAGCTTGAAGCTCAGGATGGGCAGCAAATAAGGATGATGGAGACATTAGGTACTCAAGCAAATCTCTAAAGAGGCAGTTTTGTCTTCACAGGTTCACATGATACTTATATTAACCAATCATTAAAGAAAAATGTAAAAGAG